GGAGATTGTATCACATCGAGCAGCAGGGAAAGAGATGCAAAGCACACTGGGAATGCAGGAAAGTGGTGGGCAGACAGAAGGCAGCACTCACTACATAAAAGGGATTTTTTAACGTAAAAATGATTGTATTATCAGAAACAATTCCAGTATGCATTCCTATTACGCTGCTGATGTTATGACAGGATAGTATATGCTGGGACTTTAGAAATCCTTTAATAAAAAATATTGAAAGTTGCAAATTGGACAACTGCTGAATTGTAATAGTTTTTCTTTTTTGACAGATTTTAGCAAGTGGGGGCCACACAAGCACAATCCACAGACATCCTGGAATACACATACATAATGTGCTAATAATTGACCATTTGTCCTCAAACTCAAGTTTATTTTAAGCCGGTGTCATTTTTTTATTTTAATAAATGCTTTTGTACCTCTGTTTAGTAGTGGTCTATTCTCTATAATGCTCTTAGGCATGACTTTATTTTACAGCATTGTCAGAATCGTTTATGTTCTGCTCAGTGCCGTGTCTAATTATCCACACGATGGTCATGAAGGTTCCTGTAGAAAATGTTGTATGTAAATGATTCCCACATCAGTAAGGAAACATTGGTATTTCCATGGAAAGTGTCCTACAAAAATAACAGTGTGCACTGTTTACCATTGAATATAGTGCTGACCGGGGAATTCTACAGCTTCTAGACCTGGAAATGCTGCTCTGCTATTCAACCAATTGCCTATGATTACCAAAGCGCTGGCTTGTAATTGGCTGCCTTGAGCCATGATATCAGTGTCATTACTCCCAGCAGGGGTTGAATTTTCCTGCTGCTGGAGGAGGTATGATGTAGGAAGAGAATAGGGCTCCTGATACACATTTCAATTTTTTTTTTATTTCAAGCGTATCTACAACCAAACCAAGACTGGAACATACAGGCAGTCCCCGAGTTACAAACATCCGACTTATATACGACTCTTACTTACAAACAGAGGCTATTACTGTACAGCAGGTGTAGTTGTAATGCTACCGCACTCGTGCCTAGGAGGAGTGCCCGGCTTTTTGGGTCTGTTTTGTAGTACTGTATGTACATTACAGGAAGTTGGCTCTTGTTAGACGTGCAAAGGGTGCCCGCCTCTTCTTGCAGGTCACTGTGAGGTTTTTACTGCTGTCTGTATCATTAGAAAGATTCAATCTCACTTCTTGTCCTTGAGACCACAGGAAGTGAGAGGAAATCTACTCCTTGGAAGGGAAATTCACTCCTGTAAGAGTTATTATGGGAAAAAGGTGTCTCCACTGAAGCTTTATCACCATGACAATCCAAAATTTTCTAAATCCAATTGTCAAAGAAAGTGACGTGAAATCTTCTGAACAGGGGCACACACAGCAAAACAAACTTTACAGGGGTTAACCCTTCCCTATGCTATCCAAAACAAAAAAAACATTTTTTTGGCTGGAGTTACACTTAAAAAAAATGTACCTGTTCCAACTTACATACAAATTCAACATAAGAACAAACCTACAGTCCCTATCTTGTTTGTAACCCGAGTACAGCTTGTATTGATGTCTACCAGTCCTTAGATGTGGTCAATGCATTAGTTTTCTTTTTTTTCCCTGGTAATTCTGCAAACAGCAAACTTCCTGTCCCTTTGTGGAATTTCCCATGTCTTCATTGTATCTATGGGGCAGCCATGCTTGTCATACAAGATAGACTTCAAACATCTCTCCCTTTATTCACCTCCATTATATGGTGTACTGATGGGACAGTAGATCACAGAAGAAAAATAAGGCTGTCTACCTATGAATGGAACTTTTTCAGGTGCCACATTGATTTAAGATTTATATGTAACTTTGTAAATTAAAATATCTCTTTATTTGTACAAATGATTTAAAACACAGAAATCCAACATAGTAAAAGCACTGGCTGGACTATCACAGTTTTAAAAGAAAATCATGGAAAAGGCTAATACGGCTTAAGCTGGTAAACCCCACCACCCCCATCATTACCATGTCCAGCTACAGCAAAGTAGGTAAGTTACAATGGGGTCAATGGTGGGGTGTTGGACTGACTCTATGCCTTTCTCAGACCGTTTTGTTCTGCTTCATCAGTAGTTGCGGTAAGTTTGTACATTTCCACTAAGTAAACATGAAATCTCTAAAACACCTTACATGTTCCTGTGGTTGGTGCAGTCCTCTAATGGACAACCACACCTAATAGGTATTCATGCTTCTACATATTAAATATTGTCCATCACCAGACAGTGCTTTATTTCGGATGTACACAGTATAATAGGAAAATCCTGGTGTAACAGAGACTACTGAGAACAATGTCTTTGACTGAAGGAGAGCTGCAGCGGGAGTGTCAATTGTAGCTCTATAAGCATTTGCAGACCTCTTACCCCTGGTCTCATGGGCATGCAGGCCTGGCTATTGCTTGTAGTCCTCCAGGTATGTGCTCTGCTCCTACCTTGCTCCTGCACTGCCCTGGCAGCTTTAGGGCTTTGCCCAATCTAACTTGCTAATTTTTATGCAGCTTCTCCAATCAGTGTTGTCAGCTTGTGGCCAGTCTAGTGGTTCCTATTGCTCACCCTATTTAACCTCAGTGCAGCTTGCGGCAATGCTTTTCCAATCA